GGGGGGGGGGGTGCCATGATTGCTCTGGCAACTGAATCTTAGCAAAATACTGTAGATGCTGGGAATCTGAAACAAACACAGAGAAGGTGAGCTCTCCATTATTTGAAGTGCTGATGTGATGGATTGTTGGTTACTTGAAGGAGAGTCACTGGACTCGAAACATCAACTCTCCCTCTCTCTCTCCACAGATGCTGCCAGACCTCCTGAGTTTCTCCAGCATCTTCTGGGTGTGTCTCATCAACAGAAACTTGTGAAAGCCATGATGGGTAGAGTTTAGACCAGGAAGGATGACCAGGCACTTGAAACAAAGACAGGTAAATGGTGCTGACATACAGATCCACTGTGATCTTACTGAACGGTCAAACAAACTGAAAGGTCTCCTTCCATTCCCAAAATCTATTCAACCCATTTAATCTTGCCATGAATTAACATTTTAACGGATTTAATGCAGGAAAATGGGGCATTTAGACTATGTTTCACATTTTGAGGAAGGGTCACCGGACCCAAAACATTAACTCTGTTTTTTACCTTCACAGATGCTGCCAGACCTGCTGAGCTTTTCCAGCAATTTCTGTTTTTTTTCCTATGTTTCACGTTTATACCATTTCAACAGATGGACACAGTCCAGGAGGGGCAGTCGCTGTCTGAGAACACACTGCAAACCATTCACCATCTCCTTATATACCTGTCTGACAATTCCAGGTTATATATACATCCTTAATTTCTCACTATTATTTCAACTGAAATTCTCTTTCATTTCAATTCTCCCCACCTTTCACCTCCACGAGTTCTGATCTTTACCGCGATGTGCAAACAAAGCAAGGGTGATGTGAGAAATAACTCCCATGCAGCAAGTAGTTAGGGAGTAGAATGCACTGTCTGGAAATGTTGTTGGGGGGGAGGCGAGTAGGTTCAACTGAGAAATTCCTGAGTGGATGATCATTTGGGTGGAAATTGTGCGCAAGGTTAAAGGGGAAAAAGGTAGGAGATTGGCACTAGGTAATGATGCTGGTGTGAAGAGCTAGTACAGGCTCAATGGGCTGAAGGAGCTCCACTGCACCACAGCAATCTGTGACCAGGAGAAAATGAATGCGCACACCGAGTGTTGTGCCCCGAGATGGAAGAAATTGGATAAACTCCAGGCTCCAGCGAGTAATACCTTGCAGCACCAAGCTAGACTGTCAAACCAGACTAACTTGAGGAAGAAAGAGAGAACCAGCTCTCACTAACAATACTGACATGCCTGGCACTAACATGCTGCAAGGTCATCATTTGATCAGAAGCTGAGCTGAGTAGCTTGGTGACTACAAACCAGGTTTGAAATGGGTTTAATCCCGCCATGGCAGATGGTTAAAATTTGAATTCAATTCTTTTTTAAAAAAAATCTGCAATTAAAAGTTAATGGCAAGTATAATTGTCACACACACAAATAAAAACCTGGTTTCATTAATAAAAACATAGAGTGCAGATGGCCATTCGGCTCTTTGAGCCTGCTCTGCCATTCAATATGATCACGGCCGATACCCAGCCCAGTCCCCTGTTCCCACTTTCTCCCTCATACTGTTTGACCCTTATAGCCCTAAGAACTATACCTAACTCTGTCTTGAAAACATTCAATGTTTTGGCTTCAACCATTTTCTGTGGCAGAGAATTCCACAGGCTCAGCACTCGCTGGGTAGTGTCCTTTAGGGAAGGCAGATTTCCCTTGATAAAGGACATTAGTAAACCAGCCGGTTTTTTTTCGCAACATTTCCGGTCATTATTAGTTTAGCTTTTTTACTGAGTTCAAATTTTACCATCTAATTTGAACCCATGCTCCCCTGAGCATTAGTCTGGAGCTCAGGATTATGTCTCCAGAAATATTATCAGAGATGACCTTAGCTATGGATAACGGTAAAAGCAAAATACTGTAGATGCTGGAAATGTGAAACAAACAGAGGAAGCTAAAGAAACTCAGCAGGTCTGGCAGCATCTATGGAGAGAGAAACGTTTCAAGTCCAGTGTGATTTTTTCTGAAGAAGAGTCTTATCCGACTGAAAATATCAACCATTTCTCTCTCCACAGGTCCTACCAGACCTTGTCGAATTTCTTCAGCACTCTCCCTGTGTTTGTTTTAAATGTGAGCATTTCAGGACAATTTCAAAAAATTGCTATTTTATTTTACATGCCGCATGACAATTATTTCACACTGTTTAATATTGTAGGCTTGACATTCATACTTTAGAAGCTACAAAATGAAATGCAATTTGTACAAAAAAGGCACTTTGAACAGAACATCAGAAAGACCAAACTGAAGATAATTTGGTTTCTGTTTCACATTCAGTTGAAATCTCAATGAAACAATCTCAGACTTACCTCAAGACCAGGAGGTCCTGGTATTCCAACTGGACCTTTTTCACCAATTTTGCCCTAAAAATATAACAACAATCATTTATAAATGTGAAGCATTTCCCACTCGATGCCTTTATTTATAAAGCCAAGCAGCCTTATGCTTTCTGTTCTGAAGAGGGGTCACCGTACCCAAAGCGTTATCTCTGATTTCTCTCCACAGACCTGCTGAGATTTTCCAATAGTTTCTGTTTTTGTGTCAGCTGTACGCTTTATCAACTTAACCCTAACCCTTCAAAGGTTGTGTATGCAAGCCCTCAGGCCTATCTCACTGAAAAGTGTTTAAAACTGTACCAAACAGTGTACCTTTTATTCTTAGAATGCATCACTTCACACAACTCTGCATCAGATTTCATGAATCACATGCCTGCCCATTTCACTGGTCTGTCTATGGTTCTTGTCAAGTCTCTAATCATCACAGTTTACTGCATTTCCAAGTTTTATGTCATCTGCAAACTTTGAAATTTTACCCTAACAACTCCCTTTGTCTCCATATGCAGGTCACTAATAAAAAGTAAAGTTAGCACAGGGCTAATCTCTCTGAGAGAGAGAGAGGGAGAGGACTGGTGGTGAGTTTTATCTGAGGATCACAAAAACAGAAGTTGCTGAAAGCTCAGCAGGTCTGGCAGCATCTGTGAAGAGGAAATTAGAGTTAACGTTTCAGGTCCGGTGACCCTGGGTTAGAAGGGTCACCGGACCCGAAACGTTAACTCTGTTTTATCCTTCACAGATGCTGCCAGACCTGCTGAGCTTTTCCAGCAACTTCTGTTTTTGTTCCTGATTTACAGCATCCACAGTTCTTATCTGAGGGTCAGCATGCCTTGGGCAAGTGGTAAGGTTGAGAAGGAGAGTCCTTTATGGTAACCACATGACCTTGAGAGCAGTGGAGATGGAATTATTGAATACTTTTAAGACAGGGGTAGATACTGTCTCAACCAGAAAAGGGGTCAATGGTTACTGAGGGTAGACAGGGAAGTGGGTATGTGTCACCATAATCTTACCAGACCACAAGGCTACTCTCTCATCAGACAGACATCTGGTAGTGACTTAACCTGACGGCCACCATACCTCAGGCCAGGGGAGAGACCTTTAGGGTAAACCCAGCCAGCAACAGGAATTGAACCCATATGATTAGCATCATACTGCTTTATGAACCAGCCATCCAGCCAACTGAGCTAAACCAACCACAGGCAGGAAAGTGGAATTTTGGTCACAAACTGATCAGCCACGATCTTATAGAAGGATAAAGCAAGCTGGAGGAAAAACATGGCCTAACCCTAATGTTGCTTCCAATTTGTGAATGAAACAGAATATTGTTCTGGACTATAGTCTGTAAAAGGACCCCAGGTTAATTGCACATACTCACGCTAAGTAAATAACATAGGTGTGTATTTTATAGGTTTGATCAAAATCACACGTCAAAACATAGCTAGGAACGGGCAGGCACATAAATTAGGTTCCTAGTGAAATCAAGCACATTCTTTAGGAATCTGTCTACAATATTACACTTAGTGATCATTCCAAATACCACAAAACCTCCAACCCTAACCCAAGTGCAATATATGGTGCAGTTCTCATAATTTACAAACATAAGAACTATGTTGAGACAATTTTCTATTCAGAATAAATGGTCCATTAGAACATAAAACAGAAATTGAGTTTTGGAATAATGCGACAGAGGAGGCCATTCAGCCAATCAAGTCTGTTCTGGCTTACCTTTTGGCTCTGTTAAATCTTTTAATTTTGGTTTTTGTAACCAAGTGGGTGCAAGGGAGTGATGACTCTGTGCACTTTTCGCTTTGTACACTTATGTATTCCTATACTCAGTACATGTGACAAATAAATCTATCTATCTACGGTCCCAGTCCCCAGCTCTTTCCCCATATTCCTGAGATTTTCTTTCTCCTTTGAGCATTTACCCATTTCCCTGCAACGGAACCTATAACCACCACACACTCCAACAGTGCACTCCGAATCCCAACCCCTCACATTGCGGAAGGACTTTCCTGGCGTTTTGTTTGTTTAGCCAATCACCCGCATCTCTTTACTCTGTCTAAATTCCTAACAACTGTAAGCACTTCTATCAAATCAAGAGAGAGGGAGGAAACAATGGCTGAGTTGGGAGATGCCTATGAGTGACGCAGACAGGAATACACTGCAACAACGTTATGCATTCAACTCAGGTTTGCTGCAATTGGAGAGTATTTATAAATCAGTCACAGACATTTTACACACAGTTAGGAATTTCTGAACTTGAAAAATATAAAATGTCTTCTACCCAGCAAACAAATGCACATAGCTGTGGGTGGCACAGTAGTTAGCGCTGCTGCCTCAGAGTGCTAGGGACCAGGGTTCAATCCCACCTGTGGATCACTGTCTGTGTGGAATTTGCACATTTTCCCTGAGCCTGTGTGGGTTTCCTTCCACAGTCCAAAGATGTGTAGGCTAGGAAGATTGGCCATGCTAAATTACCCCATAGCATCCAGGGGTGTGCAGGCTAGGTGGGTTAGCCATGGGAAATGCAGGGATGGGGGTGGTTCTGGGTGGGATACTCTTTGGAATATTGGTGTTACTTGATAAGCTGAATGCCCTGCTTCCACAGTGTTGGAATTCTACCTGTGCTATTTTTAAAAGATACGCCTGTAAGGAGAAAGAAAGAAAACCCAGTGAAACTGAAAAATGAGACAGGCTGGTCCAATCCACCTTGGACGCTGCAGGATGGAGTTCAAGATACGAGCTGCTCATTCCCAAATGTTACCCCACCCGTGTTTTATTTCTACTGGTTTTCCCTTCTGAGGAAGTATTGTAGTAATGAGAAATGTTGAGATACTTACAACGATGCCAGGTTTCCCCCTTGTTCCAGGCATTCCCTGGATCCCTGGGTTACCCTGTGATGACACAACAGCAGTTTAAGCCAAGACAGCAGATTTGCTAATGCAAAGTGATACAATTACCTTTAATTACTTACGCTATCAATCATAGCACTCTGGACAATGCTCGTTACATTCACAAAACCCAACTTTCAAAAGACAGACATGAAATCTAGTGTGGCTGCAATTTGCAACCAGGAAGGAATTTGATTCAAAGAATTATACTTGGAAAGTGATACAGAACTAGGCAGAAATAAAACACAAACACATTCCTCAAACAAGAACGAAGACTCGAAACAATGTTTTATCCAGAGTTGGTTTGACATGGAGCCATACTCCACAGAGTGCCCTAATCGATAGACAATTGGTTATGTGTAACTTAAGGGTAAGCTCTCCACAAGCAGGGAGTATGATGAGATGGGAAGACAGGGACTAGAGTCAGGACAGGCGTGGAATCCATATCTGTTGGCTTTACACTATACCACACCCTAGCCAACTGGGCTAGCTGACACCTCCAGTAGTGAAGGAAGGAGCAGGATAACATAGTAAAAAATCTGCTTCAGTGATGCCTTTAAAAAGGAACTAGAACAGCAGGTATACTGATATTAGTAAACCTGCTTCATTCACAGAACCAAGGAGTGAGGATTGGAGAGATATTTGGCAGTGGGTGGGAAGGGGGTGATTTTTTTATTGCTGGTTGGACTTCTAATGCAATTAACATAGAAAGTAGCAGTAGGTCATTCAGCCCTCTGCTATCCAATATGTTCATGGCTAATCAGTGAACTCCGTTCTCCTGCCCCCGCTTTCTCCCCAAACCCCTCGATCGTTTTAACCCTAGGAACTGGATCTAAATCCGAGAGAAAGGAGACCAAACTGCGCACAGTATTCCTGACATGATTACATTCTTTAAAAAAAAAATCATTCACAAGATGTAGGCATCAGCGGCCAGGCCAATCATTCACATTGCTGTGGGTTTGGAGTCACATGTAGGCTAGACCAGGTAAGGATGGCAGTTTCCTCCCTTAAAGGGGTGGTACAGTGGCTCAGTGGTTAACACTGCTGCCTCACAGCACCAGGGACCCAGGTTCAATTCCACCCTCAGGCAACTGTCTGTGTGGAGTTTGCACATTCTCCCCGTGTCTGCATCGGTTTCCTCCAGGTGCTCCAGTATCCTCCCGCAGTCCAAAGATGTGCAGGTTAGGGTGGATTAGCCATGCTAAATTGCCCACAATGTTCAGGGATGTGTACATTAGGTGGGTTATAGGGGAATAGGCCTGGGTATGATGCTCTGAGGGTCAGTGTGGACTTGTTGGGCCAAATGGCCTGTTTTCACACTGTAGGGATTCTATGACATTAGTGAGCCAGATGGAATTTTTTTCCTGACAATGGATTCATGGTCATCATTAGACTCCAAATTCCAGATTTTTATTGAATTCAAATTCCACCATCTGCTGTGGCGGGATTTGAACTCAGGGCCCTAGAACATCCCCTGGGTGCCTGGATTAACAGTCCAGCAATAATACCATGAGGCCATTACCTCCCAAATTTGCTTGAGGGGATGCCCATCAATGTGGCAACACACTCACAAGGGAATGAGGAGGAGCGAGTGACATTTATTTGCTTTGAGTCTATAGCTAGGGAATTAATTGAACCATTCTGTTTTCAAATGATGCTTCAACCACGCCAGAACTGATTCAAGTTTGTGTCCTGCAGACCAGTCTGTGCAAAGACTAACATCTCCATGGCATATTTCAAAGACATGGTTTGAGCTTCTCTGGGTACATCTGCCTGGGCTCTTTGAAAAGACATTGTGAGTTGGGTCCATTGCCAGATAAAAGACAAAGCAGACTTTAGGTGATGGGGTCACATTTAATCAAGTGACAGAGCTGAAACACATTAATAGCTGGCGCTCAGTCCAACTGCATCTCCCTTTAAACCAAACTAAAAATATCCTGGATTTTGTAAAATAATACGGTTTAAAGGTTCAGGGACCAGAGTTCCAGCTACAACTAGCATACTTTCAACTCATTAACACAGAAAGCATCAATTATATCTTCCTGCAGTTCTGCAAAAATTTCAGGAGTAGTTCATTCCATTAACAAATGGCCCAGGTCTGAAAATATATTTAACATCTGTTTTTTTTTTCATGTTTAGGGGCTCATTTTAAATTCCTATGGTGGGGTTGCCCAGAACAGGGATGCATATGGCAACTTCAAAGTGGATGTCCTCCATAATCTTTTAGTCTTTAGCTGCGTAAGATTTCTCACAGCACTGAAATTAAAATGTGTTGTGAATGCCTTTGGTATTTCTTCTCCCCCGCCGCCCTCAGGAATATTCTGATTTTTCAAAAGAATCAAGAACAGCTTCTTCCCCGCTGTTATCAGACTTACGAATGGACCTCTCATGTATTAGAGCTGATCTTTCTCCTCACCTTTTCTGTAGCTGTAACACTACATTCTGCATTCTGTTCTATTACTCTGATGTGCTTATGTAGGCTATGATTTGTCTGGTTGGCACGCAATACAATACTTTTCACTGTATCTCGGTACATGTGACAATAATAAATCAAATCAAATTGAATTGACTCCTGTTGATTTTTGCCTTGTAATACTAGCTTTATGTTGGCAAAGCAAGCCTTGTAAAGACAGTCCCCAGGTTGCAAACAGGTTCTCTTCTTGACTACACTAGTAAATCGATTTGGACGCAGTTCGGAACACAATAGAGTATAATATGAAATTGCTGTTTGTAAGTATGAGCATGTGGGACCTTGTTAAGTAATTCATTTGCAATTTGTAAATTGTGGACTCCTGTATCATTTTAACATCAATCTCTCGTGTAACTGAACTTATTGCCAGCTTCTTGCTGTATAATGTAGTCTGCATTTCCTTCTTTGAGAAAAGGAAGAGCTTGAAATTAAACCACCCAACAAAATTTCCGTAGCAAGTACATTCAGGAATAAGAAAAAAAACAGTGGCACTTTCTCAGCAAAAGAGACCCTCATGACAGTATAATCTCCACTCCCCACCTCCCACCCCGCCCAGGATCAGTTAGGTCCAAAGAGTGCTTTCATATTTCCTGCACAATCACATAGGACCAAGGAAAGAATTCCTCATTGGAATGAGGAAGGGTCACCGGACCCGAAACATTAACTCTGTTTTTTCCCTCACAGATGCTGCCAGACTTGCTGAGCTTTTCCAGCAACTTCTGTTTTTGTTCCTGATTTACAGCATCCGCAGTTCTTTCGGTTCTTATTAAAAATTCCTCATTGATTGACAGGGTTGGGCTGACTTTCAGCAGCTTTTTTAAAAAATTCATTCATAGGTCGAGGGTGTTGCTGGCTCAGCAGCATTTATTGCCCATCCCTAATTGCCCAGGGGGCATTTAAAAGCCTACCATATTCTTGCAGGTCTGGAGTCACATGTAGGCCAGACCAGGTAAGGATGGCAGCTTCCTTCCCTAAAGGGCATTAGTGAACCAGATGGGTTTTCCCTGATAATTGACAATAGTTTCATGGTCATCATTAGATTCTTAATTCCAGGTGATGTCAGAAATCACATGACACAAGGTTATAGTCATGCCATTTCTAGACCTTGTCTAATCCAGTACCTCCACATCATAATTCCAGATGTTCATTGAATTCAAATTCCGCTACCTCCTGTGGCAGGATTCGAACTCAGGTACCCACGATATGACCTGGGTCTCTCCATTAACAGTCCAGCAATAATACCACTAGGCCATCACCTACCCTATGAGGGCCAAGTCCTGCATCAATGTCTCAGGCTTATTCCTTTCAGTCAGGAACAAAAAGGAAGGATCACCAGACCTGAAACGTTAGCTCTGATTTCTTTTCTTCACAGATGCTGCCAGACCTGCTGAGCTTTTCCAGCAACTTCTGTTTTTGTTATTCCTTTCTGTCCCATCTACATTTCATAAGCTTGGACTGAATTTAAAACAAACATTTTTAGGGGATGCGGGCATTGCTGCCTAGGTCAGTATTTGTTGCTCCATCCCAAACTGGCCCTGAACTGAGCAGCTTGCTCAGCCATTTCGGAGGGTAGTCAACCACATTGCTGTGGGTCTGGAGTCACATGTAGGCCAGACCAGGTAAGGATGGCAGATTTCTTTGCCCAAAGGACATTAGCAAATTGTTTATTACAACAATCAATGATAGTTAGTGTGGTCATCACTGATGGCCAGGTTATATTTCATTTCAGATTTCATTCTGGGCATTTAAATACTACCAGCCACCAAAGTGGGGTTTGAACCTGTGTCCCCCATAACATTACCCTGATCCTCTGGATTACTCGTCCAATAACACTGCTACCACATCACCATCCTCCCACATACCAATGAACTCTTGGCTAGGTACGTCAGAGCACAGAATTATAGCAAATAGGTGCAGGAGCAGGCCATTCAACCCATCGAGCCGTGCCATCATTCAATATGATCATGGTCGATCACGCAATCTCAGTGTCCCATTCCTGCTTTCTCTCCATATCCCTGTAGCAGCAAGGGCCATGTCCAGCTCCCTCTAGAATATATCCAACAAACTGCCGAGAATTCCACAGGGTCGTGACTCTCTGAGTGAAGAAACTGTTCCTCATCTCAGCCCTGAATGGCTTACCCCGTACTCTTAGAACATTTAAACTTGCTTACTAAAGCTTTAAGGCCTGTTTTCACCAATACAGGACTTAGCCCCCCAGCCCCATGACAGGACTTCGCCCCCCCAGTAGGACTTAGCCCCCCCCCCCGACAGGACTTAGCTCCCCCACCCCGTGCCAGGCGGATGATTCCTGTAACACATCCTACTTTGCAAGCTTTGAAAAACTGGCAGATTGGACTGCGAGAGATAGTAGGAACTGCAGATGCTGGAGAATCTGAGATAACAAGGTGTAGAAGGGTCTAGGCCCGAAACGTCAGCTTTCCTGCTCCTCTGATGCTGCTTGGCCTGCTGTGTTCATCCAGCTCCACACCTTGTTATCTCAGATCGGAGTACGAGCTGGGCCCGTCGTGGTTCG